ATGAGATGGACACTTGCTTCTTGCACTTTATGTTGCACTTTACTTTTTTACTTTTGGATTTCATTTGGTTTAATTAAATATAGTGTAATAAAATTTTCTTAAGTAAAATTGTAGATTTTTTTGTGGGAAATTAATCGTTTAGATTAATCGATAAATTAGTCGATAGATTAATCATAATAACAATAGTCGTTAGTGGCAGCCCTAATAATATATGCTTGTGTACTGTGTATATTTATTATCTATATATAAATACACACACATGCATGTATATATTTCAGAAAAATTTTATGTTTATATATTTAATATATTTATATATAATATAATTTATATGAATATAAATATGTACATGTAAATCAATGTAAATATTTTCTAAATATATACTGTATGTGTGTGTATTTATATATACATAATAAATATTCACAGCACACACACATATATTATGTAAACAAAAACTTTTATTTTGGATGCGATTCATCGCGATTAATAGTTTGACAGCACTAGTTTTTAGATATTTCGTCTAATATCTTATTTATGCTACAACAAACAGAGGAAATGTCTTAAGCTTCTGGGAGTATTTTTTAACACCACTCAATGCATTATTTGCATATCTCTTTTTAAAGGTCCCTTGCTATGTCTTTGACTCGGATGGAAAGAAGCATGACCTCAACCCGCTGATAAAACTCTCAGATGGCTACCTGGTTGATGACCCAGACGATGAAATTGATTTCTACATTAATATATGCAGAAGTCTAAGTGAGTTACTGTAAACTATTTTTTTTTAATACAGTGTAGGGGCTTTTCAACAGTTTGCCGCCCAGTCAACAAACATTTTGATTATATAGCTGCTTTATCACACAAAACAATCTGCAAAGCATCTGAGCAGGTTCTTAAGTAAACAACTAAAGCATTTAGAAGTGCAATGCAAATAACTTAAGATGATGTCTGTCCATCCAGACCGCGCTGGAAGCTCCTGTCCCGAGGGATCAGCCGCCTGTCTCACCTCTGGCAAAGACTCCTTCGACATGGGTCAGCCTGTTCATCAACTCGAGCTGCTCTCCAATGACAAGTATGTGCTAATTTACTAGTTATTAGGCTGATGCTTTAACAGTACCATTCAAAAGTTTGCGATTGGTACATTTATGCTCACCAACAGTAAAAACAGTAATATTGTGAAACATTATTATAATATCAACTATTTGTTTTCTGTTTTAATATATTTTAAAATGTCATTTATTCCTGTGATGCAAAGCTGAACTTTTAGCAGCCAATACTTCAGTGTCATATGATTCTTCAGAAATAATTGTAATATGCAGATTTGGTGCTCAAGAAACATTTCTTATTACAATGTAGAAAACTGGAGCAGCAACTGATTTTCTCTTTTTTTTTCTTCAGACTAAAGCTGCGATATGAGGGAGTCAAAGAAGGCCCATCCTTCTGTAATGGCCACAGTCCAGCAGTGACGATTACATTTATTTGTCCATCTGCAAGGCAGGCGGTAAGAAGATGCCTAGTGTTTCATCTCATTACAGTATATCTGCTATACTCAGTCATCTCACAGCTTTCTCAATGGTTTATCAGGGAAGTAACCCTAAGATGATCAGCAACTTGAACTGTCGGTATGAGATCGAGTGGGTGACTGAGTACGCCTGCCACAGAGATTACCTGGAGAGTCACAGCTGCACACTGACCAGCGAACAGCACGACATCTCCATTGACCTTACTCACCTGATGCACAACCGTGAGTTAACTCTATTAGTTTAGTAAGAAGCAATGATGTAAATATTGTTTCTATGGAAAGAATGAAGGAGTGATGGATTTGATATGGTTTTTAAGGAGTAAGTGATTAACTGAATAAACCATACATATCCCAGTGTCATTGTACAGTGGTAATATTAAAAGTCATGTACGTTAATTGAAGTAAAATATTAGATAAATATTAAATGAAAGCTTAAACTTAAGTGGAAATGCATTATGCATTTTGCATTGGTGACTAACTGAAATAAAAATGAGTTTAACTTGAAGTACTAAAATATGGAAGCCCGTTTCCGCCACTGAATAAAAAATGTAAAATGTAATTGCTACTTTTTATCTCACAATTCTGACATTTTTTTCACATAATTGCGTGATAGAAACTCGCAATTTTGAGAAAAAAAATCAGAATTGCGAGTTTGTATCACGCAATTATGTGAAAAAATTTCAGAATTGTGAGATAAAAAGTCACAATTACATTTTTAATTTTTTATTCAGTGGCGGAAACGGGCTTCCATATTTTAGTACTTTGTGAATTGTGAGATACAAACTCGCAACTGCGAGTTATAAAGTCAGAATTGCGAAATATAAACTCGCAATTGTGAGAAACAAAGTCAATTCTGAATTTATAACTCGCAATTGCGAGTTTATATCTCACAATTCTGTGAAAAAAAGTCGTAATAACCTTTTTTTTAATTTCCTATTCAGTGGCGTAAACGGGCTTCCATACTAAAATGACGAAAACTAAAACTGAAAAAAAAAAAAAAATCCAAATTGACAAAAGCACAAAATTACTAAAACTTAAAATGAAATTCAAATTAAAACTGAAAATTTAACATTAAAGCTAATTTAAAATATTAATAAATACTTTAATAGTTTATAAATAATATTAAAATAACACTGATACCATGGCATCGAAGCATATTCATTTACTGTGGAATTTACATGTTACTTCATTGTGCTTCAGAGATGAAAATGTCTAAAAACATGATATTGGTACAGTACCATGTCCAAAAAAAACACGGTATTTCCTAGGGGTGGGGGAAAAAATCAATACAGCATAGTATCGTGATATTTTCCGCAGCAATACTGTATCGATACATGGACGCCAAGTATCGATCTTTTATTATACTATTTGGTAGAATAATAAAATAAATTTCTTTACAATTCACTAGATGGTGGTGTTGAGTTTTTTCTGGTGAGGTCTGCTGGGTCACCTTCAGCATGCATTAAGTTAGTAAAATAAAGAGGGCGGCATGCGGAAAGTTATCAGGAAAGCCCCGTCCGCTTTTAAATCGGATGTATGGAATTACTTTGGATTTGTAAACAAGGAGGGGATGTAAGTAGGGATGCACCGAAAATATAGGCTACATATATAATAATAATAATATTATTATTATTATTATTA